TTTCAAATTATTATTATTATTATTATTATTATTATTAGGCTATTATTATTATTATTAATATTATTATGTTATTATTGTTGTTGTTGTCGTTATCATTATTATTATTATTAGCCTCTTAGAAAATCTCTTTATTTCTTTTTTTCGTATTTCGATTTGTTGATAGAACATACTTCAGTCATTCAAATAAAGAAATATTAAGCCCAGTTTTGATCTGATCATAGCCTAAAGGAGTCATGGGTCAGTGCAGTTATTGGATAGCACTATATTGTAGACAGATTGGAGATTAATCCTAATAAACATGCCGCTGCAATTAAAACCATTACATTAAAATACATTTAAAAGAGTGTATTTCAATCATTTCAGCAGCGTGCAGATCCTGGTTTCTGTCAGACTGTAGCTAAAGCAGCGTGCATTGCTTAACTCGCTCACATAATGTACCATATAGCCTATCTATAATAACGAGAAAACATGTCGTTTTAACGAGAAAAGATGTCGTTAAAACGACATAATTGAGTGGAAAAAATAATATGTGTGCGGCAAACCTGCAATAATTAAATGTTAAACAACACAAATATCCTATGTATTTAATCCCATTCTATTAACCAATGCCTTTGCTTCTGACCTTCGATGATCCAGTTCAACCGTACTAATAAGCACAAGTTACTCTAGACAAACATTTGTGTCTTTTTTTATTGCTGAAGTGTGTTGAATTTCTTCTGCATTCTACGGACGTAAATTTACGCTTTTATATTTGCCAAAAATATAACTTTTTTATTTTAAAAACAAACAAGCAAGCCCTGTCCAGATTTTAAAAGTAACGTAACGCATTACTTTCCAAAAAAAGTAACTAAGTACCGTAATTAGTTACTTTTTTATGGAGTAACGCAATATTGTAATGCATTACTTTTAAAAGTAACTTTCCCCAACACTGGTAGCCACTGAAAGTTGCAGGTGGCTGCCACATGGTTGAAAGATTAAGGTAACGCGTAAGTTCCTCAAACTTTGTTGTAGGAAAAACAGCATCTCCTCACGGTTATCGACAGATCCCAACGTTAGGAATACGTGGCTAAAACTGATTTTTAATGATGTGCTGTGATCAATGATTGTTATATGCAAGGATGCATGTAGACTACACCCGTTCTTTGTCGAAAATGCGTTTGTTGACGTTTTTGCATTAGGACAGTGTCTAAACGGTGAACTTTACATTGTTCCTTGTAAGAGCACGAAATTCACCTTTTATTCAAAGTATAATTACATAACTCCCCCCACACAAAATACGACTTAAAACGTACCGAAATGGAATTAAAACTAGAACCCCGCTCGTTCAAAAAATCTTGTTTAATTATGAGTTGTATAGGATTGTTTGTTTTTTTAGCAACAGAGAGATCTAGTCATGCGTGGCTGTGGGGGAAGTTATCTAAAATTATTGTAAAATTAACAGTCTTTATCTATCAACTGCTACTAGTTATAAATTCATTTCATGAATACTCTTTTGCTGATCTTCATAGTTAACTGAGAAGTTTAGATTTTCGTTGATGTTGACATGTTTGTGGTTGAACGTGAGTGTGGGCTTGTCAAACAAGGTGTTAAGACACAGAACCAGTTCTGCATTGTGTAGCACCTGCTTTATACTCAATGTGGAATTTCCTTCTAAAAGCTAGTTAGACTACTCTGGTGTGCTGAAGGATGAGGATCAGTCATTGGCTGTTGGGTTGTTGTGGTTGTTGTTATGGTTGTGTCTTAATGTAAGGCCCCACCCTTGTCAGGATGTGTTTGACTTTCAAATCTCTTCCGTAAATCTCTTTCATGCCCAATACTTCACTCTCTTTTTCCAGTTCAGTCCACCAAGTGAGTACGGTCACAAGACCAAGCTGATATTACAATAATGCGATTCCGTCAGATTTTTCATTTCTTCCTTCTTGGAATGTTTGTTGGCTTGTCACTGAGTGGGTATGTATAAAGTTTTTAAAAATATGTAGCTGATTTACTTACACGTTTGGAACTGGAATGTTAAGTGAATATCGGTTGTTAATCTGTTTATTTATTGATATAAATGCTGCCAATGTCGCTTTATGTAATCAGCTAATCACATGGCAGCAACTCAATGTATGTAGGCATATAAACAGGGTTGGGAAGGTTACAGAATGTAACACAGTTTAAATTAATTACTTAAATAGGTTAATTAAGTCAGGAGTGTCTAATCCTGCTCACTGTTCTGTAGAGTTTAGCTCCAAGTCTACCCCGATTAAACATGCTGGAACCAGTTAATCAATTTTCTTGGCATGCTACAAACTTCCAGGCAGGTGTGTTGAGGCAGGTTGGAGCTAAACTCTGAAAGACAGTGGCCATTCAGGACTGAGAACACCTGATCTAATTATTTAGAATTCTTAAGCCAGGGGTTCATTTACAGTCATGCTGATTTTCAGGAAACAGCACTCTTCTTCCTTTTATATATTAAAAAAACAAAACCAAGAGCTCATATACACAAATGTCACTGGCTCTGTGTGAAAAAACGTTCTCACGTGAGAGCACGTCAATTCCATGAGAGATCAACTTACCTCAAGAGGCTTTTTCGCATTATATGTCGAATCCTTTGAAACTGATACAAGTTAGGTATAAAACTGTCTTTGTATTTCCATGGCAAAAATCACGTGCATGGCTTTCTGATTCCCCGTGCAGTTTTTTTTAGTCCTGACTAGCTTGTGCACTCTGAAGGTTGTAAATTGAACAGGCTGCCCTTATTTTTATTTATTTATTTTCAGAGTTGAGTTGGAGACTCACCAAATGCCTCATTGGTTAAAAATTCCCAAACAGTTTACATGAATATTAAATGAAATAAATGACATTAAAATGCAGAGTAATCATTTAGGTAATCTTAAATACATTTCGGATGTACTGTATACTTTATTTGATTACCACCCATTTAAAATGCAGTTACTCATATTTCTTATTTTAAATGTGTAAGGACATTACGTATATTCCATTACTCCATGTATCCTGGATGCATACAAATAACATGACACGTCTTACACAGTCTTGCGTAAACCCAAACACAACAAACATGCTCTATATGCTCTCTAAGCCAGGTATTAAAAGCCAAGTGGTTACTTAAAAGATGTAAGCTTTAATGGTGCTTATTGGTGAGACCCTTTTTCTATCAGTTTAAAATGGCAGGCGAGCAGCGAGTTTTTAAAGCTTTGATGGGTTTCCTGGAGGATAATGGATACAAATATTTTTTTTTCTACTCAAATGTTGGATTGAGCCATTTTTCATGCCCACTGTTGTGTACACACACACACACACACACACACACACAAGCTGGTGGATGTTAGAGACCTTGCGCTCCTCCACCTTCCGTTTGAGGATGCCCATGCTTGGCCAATCCATCACCTTTACCCTCAGATTCTTTAGCAAGGCAGTGGTCATCTTGGTGTTTGGGGTCATTATCATGTTGGAATACTGCCTTGCGGCCCAGTCTCCGAAGGGAGGGGATCATGCTCTGCTTCAGTATGTCACAGTACATGTTGGCATTCATGGTTCCCTCAATGAACTGTAGCTCCCCAGTGCCTGCAGCACTCATGCAGCCCCAGACCATGACACTCCCACCACCATGCTTGACTTTGTACTCCTCACCTGGTTGCCGCCACACACGCTTGACACTTTCTGAACCAAATATGTTTATCTTGGTCTCATCAGACCACAGGATATGGTTCCAGTAATCCATGTCCTTAGTCTGCTTGTCTTCAGCAAACTGTTTACGGGCTTTCTTGGTCGACCATGGCAAGGCCTGTTCTGAGTGGAACCTGTCCTGTTAAACCGCTGTATGGTCTTGGCCACCGTGCTGCAGCTCAGTTTCAGGGTCTTCGCAATCTTCTTATAGCCTACGCCATCTTTATGTAGAGCAACAATTCTTTTTTTAGAGTCATGAGGTGATGACTCTAAAAAGAGTCATGAGGTGCCATGTTGAATTTCCAGTGACCAGTATGAGAGAGTGAGAGCGATAACACCAAATTTAACACACCTGCTCCCCATTCACACCTGAGACCTTGTCCTCATGTTGCAGCATGCTAATGCACGGCCCCATGTTGCAAGGATCTGTACACAATTCCTGGAAGCTGAAAACATCTCAGTTCTTGCATGACCAGCAGACTCACCGGACATGTCACCCATTGAGCATGTTTCGGTGTATACGACAGCGTGTTCCAGTTCCTGCCAATATCCAGCAACTTCGCACATCCATTGAAAAGGAGTGGACCAACATTCCACAGGCCACAATCAACAACCTGATCAACTCTGTGCGAAGGAGATGTGTTGCACTGCGTGAGGCAAATGGTGGTCACACCAGATACTGACTGGTTTTCGGATCCCCCCCAATACAGTAAAACTGCACATTTTAGAGTGGCCTTTTATTGTGGCCAGCCTTATATATATGTGCATATTAGTACCTTATTAGTAATATGTACGCTTAATTTAGTAATATACTATGTACTCTTATAGTACTATTATGTATTCTTTAGGAGTAAAGAAGGTTGCATGACAAGTTGTTGTACCCCTAAAGTACAAATTTAAAACATTTTCTTCTGAGAGTGAATATTCATAGAATGTGGCAAAGATTTTAAAGCTTTAAAGGCACAAATTATGTATATTATATAGCTAAACATACAAAATCTAAAGACAACATCACATTGGAATGGAAGTCCTGTTGAAATGAGCTGTTCTATTAGCTGAACCAGCCTGAGGCATAATTTATGATCATTTTGTGGTCCGATCTTTTGACTGAATATTGAAATATGTTACTGAAACCGTTACAAAGAGTTTCTTTTTTTTCCATTCAAAAAGATAAGTTGACCAACTTTTCTGTATGAGGTTGACAAACAGAATTTTCAGCGCCTCATTTGCTGATGAGGAAAAATACCTAAAATTATTTAAAACCTATTTTGAACTTAAACACTGAAAAAAGTGTATGACTGTTGACACATTTCCAAAAGATCTCTGCTTATAGGATTCTCATGTCTTCTCTTATAGCCTCATTTACTGGGGATTCACCTCCATTTGGTATGGGTAAGTATAGACTATATTCATACACGTTCACGTGAACATGAAACGTTCAGTTTCAGTCAGATTAAAAGAATAATTCCTCTTATTAAAATGGCACAATGAAAAGGATTTAGTGGCGTTAAAGACATGAAAGTGTGAGAAGCGTGTCAGTTGTGTGAGAGTTGGCAGCCCTGGTTGATCGACATCAACTTACCTCAAGGTGCTTTTTCGGATTTAATGTTGAATCCATTGAAGCCGGTACAAGTTAGACACGTCAAACCTTGAAGCAGATGGGCTACAGCAGCATAAAACCACACAGGGAAGGGTTGCCAGGTCTGATAATCAAAATTAACCCATTTGCGATTTTGTCTGTGGTCTTCCCCTCTGTTGGGGGGCCCCTTCCATCAAAATAGCATTCTGGGGAGATAGCTTTAACCCACGGACAAAAAAAAATACCCGCGTCAACGGTGTATAAGTAGGCTAATTTCACGGTAAAACCAGACTTGCCAACTCTTGACACTGGGTACCACTCCTGTCCACTAACAACAGGAAATTGACCGTTCGCAGGGAGCTTGATAGACAGGCGATCTGACCAATCAGAATGCGGATATTATGTGCCGCCGCTGCTATCAGCCATCTTGCCCGACAGCTACGGCCGGTCTCCTTAGAAATCCATGTTAAAACGGGATAAAGATAGACTGAATTTAAACTTTTTCAATATAACTAAATATAAAAATGTGTGGAGGGTTAAGCTGTACTGTTGTTGGCTGCCACAGTAACTAAGCTAAAGGAATTCCTTTAAAGTACTTGTTGTGCGTACCAGAAAATCTGTCATGTCCGGCGCTATATGCATGGCTTGCAGCGCTTAAGTTAAAATAATAAAATAATGTTGTGTTCCGCTCCGCTATTGAAGTAAAATTCTTTCTGATGTTTATTCATGTTCATGAGGCTGCAGTTTATTAAAATGTCACAATTTAAAGGCTTTAGTCCAACTGAAATCATACCAGTGCAATTATTGTGTACCACAATTATTAGACAGACAGCAGGGTTGCCAACTTTTAAGTTCAGCTTGGAGTGAGATTTTTTTGGGTGGGGGGGATTTTGATCTCGATTCAATGATTCAACATCAATTCATATGTATATTGTACATATAAGGGGATACAAATCTTTTGTTGAATGCAGTTGAATGACTTTTTCAGCATCATTTTAAACTTTTCTTGTCTTAATTCAGTATTTGCTTGCATCCATTAATATTCACTTTTGTGTATACTTATACGAGTATCAATAAAAATAAAAAAAGGATGTAAGTTATTAATTTTGGATTTTAAAAAAATTGTTTAATCACGTCTAAATATTTATTCAAATGCAAAACTTAAAAATAAGTAAGCAGGCATGACCTGCAATACTCTTTTGATAAATAGATACATGTATATTTATTAAAGAGCCATACAGGTAACTAGTGGGTAAAGCATGGCATTACAAATGAAAATAATTTTTTTCCCGACCACAAAATGACTCCAATTTGATTTTATGCATTGGAATTTAAAACAATTTATTCTATTTTAACCTAAATACTACACAAATTGTAACATAAGTAATAGAAATATTAGAAAAATATTTTAAGTGGCCATTAATGGACCATTATTGCACAAATAGTATCTAGTACCAAAAGATCTCCTCAAAATATTAAATAAATATAATTGAACTAAAATATAGAACATTTGTTTAACTAAAACATAGTTAAAGGGGTAGTTCACCCAAAAATGAAGATTTGGCTTTGTTTTACTCACCCCCGAGGCATCCTTGGTGTATATGACTTTCTTCTTTCAGACAAATCCAGTCAGAGTTATATTAAAAATTGTCTTTGATCTTTCAAGCTGTTTAATGGCACTCAGCGGGTGTTGCATTGCTTCAGTCCAAAAGAACTTAAATAAAAATCGCCCATCCAAAAAAAAAAGTGTCTCACACGGCTCCAGGGGGTGAACAAAGGCCTTCTGTAGTGAATCGATGTGTTTTTATAAGAAAAATATCCATATTCAAAACGTAATAATCACTTTAATGTAGCTTGTGTCAGCAGTTGTACACGGAAGCAGTGGATGACGTATGAGGTCAGCGTTGCACATGTGCTGTAACTGTTTCTCGTGAAAACCAACGTTTGTTAACAGGAGCAAAGGAAGCAACGTTTCCTTACTTTAGCAAAGGAAAACTCTCTTCTTGGCTTATATCGAAATCTTCTGACATTCTTCTTTACAAATACTCGTTTTGTACTTCTAATTCTTGACCGTTGTTTTGTTTTGATCTCTCCCCTGCTTTTCCGCATGCGTCATCATACGTCACTCCCCCGGAACTGCTTCTGTTTACTGCTTCTGTTTTTTTTTATGGATGGGTGATTTTTATTTAAGTTCTTTTGGACTGAAGCAATGCAACACCCGTTGAGTGGCATTAAACAGCTTGAAAGATCAAAGACAATTTTTTATATAAATCCGACTGGATTCGTCTGAAAGAAAAAAGTAATATACACCTAGGATGCCTTGGGGGTGAGTAAAATGCAGCCTACTTTTCATTTTTGGGTGAACTAACCCTTTAACTATGTTTTAGTTAAACAAATGTTCTATATTTTAGTTCAATTATATTTATTTAATATTTTGAGGAGATCTTTTGGTACTAGATACTATTTGTGCAATAATGGTCCATTAATGGCCACTTAAAATATTTTTCTAATATTTCTATTACTTATGTTACAATTTGTGTAGTATTTAGGTTAAAATAGAATAAATTGTTTTAAATTCCAATGCATAAAATCAAATTGGAGTCATTTTGTGGTCGGGAAAAAAATTATTTTCATTTGTAATGCCATGCTTTACCCACTAGTTACCTGTATGGCTCTTTAATAAATATACATGTATCTATTTATCAAAAGAGTATTGCAGGTCATGCCTGCTTACTTATTTTTAAGTTTTGCATTTGAATAAATATTTAGACGTGATTAAACAATTTTTTTAAAATCCAAAATTAATAACTTACATCCTTTTTTTATTTTTATTGATACTCGTATAAGTATACACAAAAGTGAATATTAATGGATGCAAGCAAATACTGAATTAAGACAAGAAAAGTTTAAAATGATGCTGAAAAAGTCATTCAACTGCATTCAACAAAAGATTTGTATCCCCTTATATGTACAATATACATATGAATTGATGTTGAATCATTGAATCGAGATCAAAATCCCCCCCACCCAAAAAAATCTCACTCCAAGCTGAACTTAAAAGTTGGCAACCCTGCTGTCTGTCTAATAATTGTGGTACACAATAATTGCACTGGTATGATTTCAGTTGGACTAAAGCCTTTAAATTGTGACATTTTAATAAACTGCAGCCTCATGAACATGAAGGAGCAAAGGAAGCAACGTTTCCTTACTTTAGCAAAGGAAAACTCTCTTCTTGGCTTATATCGAAATCTTCTGACATTCTTCTTTACAAATACTCGTTTTGTACTTCTAATTCTTGACCGTTGTTTTGTTTTGATCTCTCCCCTGCTTTTCCGCATGCGTCATCATACGTCACTCCCCCGGAACTGCTTCTGTTTACAAAAGTGAGCGCAAGCCATGTGAGACACTTTTTTTTATGGATGGGTGATTTTTATTAAACTTCTTTTGGACTGAAGCAATGCAACACCCGCTGAGTGGCATTAAACAGCTTGAAAGATCAAAGACAATTTTTTATATAAATCCGACTGGATTCGTCTGAAAGAAAAAAGTAATATACACCTAGGATGCCTTGGGGGTGAGTAAAATGCAGCCTACTTTTCATTTTTGGGTGAACTAACCCTTTAAGGTGTATGGTCACATTATAAGTAAGGAATTCCTGAAGGTTAAATACAAGAAAAACATTAGTGTTGCCTCTCCATCACACTCCAGAATAAAATTATACAGTAAATGTCATCGAAGTAATAATCAATGCATGATAATATAGTGTAATGTTTACCAAAAGTTGCTGCAAAGACCTGTGTAGTGAAGTCTATCCTGCTTAAACCCATTCAAATATATTGACAGCGCTGGTTTGTTTTGAACTATTGAACGCCAGCGAGATCAGAGATGCATGTCACAACTCTGTTTTTCAATGGCTCTGGCTTTAACTGAGGCGCTACAACGAATTGCGCCACATTAAGTGCGCCAAAACTGTATTTATTGTTTGAATTTCGTATTAAAACTTTGGCGTGAGATTTACATGGGCAGCGTGAGACAGAGCCTGAAAGAGTGTGTCTCACGCAGTTGGCAACCCTGCAGACAGGCGAAAAACACAACTGTAGCTCAGCCACGCCAAGCATTTGTACAAACTGTACGTATGCTCTGATATACTGGTGATGCATGACATGTAATCCTTCCAAATTTCATTATTAAGCATAACATCTGACATATGGATGGAGACTGTTGTTTGACTATGCTAAACCCTGCTGTTGTTGTTCGATTACAGCGAAACATGTAAACGTTCTGTGAGGAGGTCTGTTGAGTTATGTAGTCCATTCATAATTGTGTTTTGGTTTGCAGAAATCATCTAACAGGTAACCTGGGGTAAGTACTTGTATAATGCATACACACATAAATGTATTCTCTTTAACGTACACATAAGCTCATGCACACACATATAAGGTGCTTTTAAAACAGAATTCACTGTTTTATACCCTGACATACTAAATATATGCTGCTTATGGAAATTGTTCACAGTGTACACATGCTTACATAGAAACCCCAATGTTTAATTGCAATCAGTGACTGATTATTACGTGTGTGTGTGTGTGTGTGTGTGTGTGTTTACTATAGTCGGACAGATGTTGCTTCTGTGACACCATGGTTAGCCCCAATTGTATGGGAGGGAACCTTTGACTCCACAGTGATTGACTCTATCTACAAACAACAAAACATCACCATTGCGACCACTGTCTTCGCTTTGGGAAAGTAACAAAGTTACATACTTCTCAGACTCTCAAAATACACACTTTTCTCTCTGTATTATTTTTCTCTTTTTATTTTTATTAACTTTTATGTTAATACAGTGTTCTTGGAAGATTTTGTAAAGTCCTTAGATTCTGTCAATTTAACTAGCAACAAAATTACTAAGGCAAGGTGTTTACTGTACATGCAAGCTACTTTACTAATAAAATGGTCTTTTGTTTATATTTTGTGTATACCACTGATTTAATATATAGATAAATATATATAGATATAAAAAGTTTTTATATGTTATGTATATGTTTGTTACTGTTATTTTGATCAATTTACTGCCCTTGCTTAATAAAGCAAATATATATATATATATATATATATATATATATATATATATATATATATTTATATACATATATATATATTTTTTTCTATATTTTATGTTAATACAGTGTTCTTGGAAGATTTTGTAAAGTCCTTAGATTCTGTCAATTTAACTAGCAACAAAATTACTAAGGCAAGGTGTTTACTGTACATGCAAGCTACTTTACTAATAAAATGGTCTTTTGTTTATATTTTGTGTATACCACTGATTTAATATATAGATAAATATATATAGATATAAAAAGTTTTTATATGTTATGTATATGTTTGTTACTGTTATTTTGATCAATTTACTGCCCTTGCTTAATAAAGCAAATATATATATATATATATATATATATATATATATATAGGGTCAGTAACTTACACACCTGAACTAGATACGTTTTAATATCTGTTCCTCTCCTTTTTTCCAGATATACACGTTTTCTCAAAGATTTCCTGGAATCAGCAGAGGAGCATTACTTTGTTGGATTTCGAGTGCATTACCACCTGTTTACAGATCGAGCGGAGGAAGTTCCTGATGTAAAACTAGGTCAAGAACGTTACCTGACAGTAAAGAAGGTTCCGAGTATGAACAGATGGCAGGACATCAGTATGAGCAGGATGGAAATACTGGAGAAACTAATAGAGAATGAACTGGCCAGTGAGGCCGACTATATTTTCTGCCTTGACGTAGATACAAGGTTCTATGGTCGTTGGGGTGTGGAGTCTTTGGGTCGTCTGGTTGGTGTGATACATCCTTGGTTCTTTAATGTTCCAAGGTTCATATTCACATATGAGCGTAGACCAGATTCTCAAGCATACATTCCAGCTGGAGAGGGTGATTATTATTTTACTGGCGCTGCATTTGGCGGCTCACTGGAGGATGTACATCATCTCACCAAAACCTGCCGGGAGCAGATGAACATTGATATTGCAAACACTATTGAGGCGATATGGCACGAGGAGTCTCACTTGAACAAGTATTTCCTTTATAACAAACCCAGTAAACTGCTTTCACCTGAATATCTGTGGCGGGACATTAGTATGAGTTCAGGCCAAGTGAAGATAATTCGCCTCTCTCATGTTGCTAAAAACAATGCTGAAGTTCGTCCAAACTTGTAGCACTTTTGTTAAAGTTTATATCCACATCAACATGTTGAGTTTCACGAGAAAAAAAATTCTTATTCGTTAGTTTTCGGTCAAACTGGTTTTAACAGCCTTTGCTCTTGAAAAAAAAAAAGTTTGTAGATTGCAAATTTGATTAAAAAACATGATTCAAGTGAGTTATGTTTCCACAGAGACATCTAACTGAAAGACATTGTACAGTTTTGATTATGGATCATGAATGTCAAATCCTGTTTTTAGGATTTCGGTATCTTCTCTATCTTTTTCTAGTTAAAAACAAAATCCGGTTTAAGATCCTTAAAACAACATTAATTTACCTGTGAAGCAAATGGTATGAAAATAAGACCTGTTTCTTGACATCAAGTAAAATGTGTTTTCTTTCTGTTTGGAGAATTTGTTTACTTGTTTTAAGCATAAAATTCATTACATGTTTTATGCTTATTATGCATTTACCTCAAAATACCGAAAACACACATAATAAACCTAAACAGTAACACTTGTAAGAATGTATTTCTTAAGCCATAAATGTATAAAAAATGTAGCTGCTACTTATATAATTATGCTACATTTGAGAAAACTTTAAACATAATAAAACTAATGATAATACATTATTCAAATTAGATCAAAAACAGTATTCAAAACATCCAATTTACTGAATATCCCACAAGCTGTAATTTTGCCTTTGTCTTATGCTGTTTCACATGTGTTGCCCCAGGTGAAAAAGACTTAGTATTAAATGTATTAAAAATATACTTGAATTTCAAGTAGTATGTTTATAATACATTTGTATTCCCAACATGCTTATTTGAAGTGCAATAAAAATATATTGAATTGCATTTTAATATATTTCTAAAAATTATACTAGAAATACTTTTGTATTAAATATATGCTTAGTTATACTTCTAAGAAATATGCTAAACAGAAGCATACTTTTAATGTATTTATAAAAAGTATACTAGAAATAGGTTGGTAATAAATATATGCTTAGTTACACTTTTAAGGAATATGCTAAAGACAAGCACACTATTAGTATATTTCTAAAAAGTATAGTAGAAATACTATGTTAATAATTACACTTTTAAGGAATATGCTAAACACAAGCATACCTTTAGTGACTTTAGTGTATTTACAGAAAACATACTTATGTTACCCTTACTTAAAGTATATTTTATGTCTACTTTGTGTAAGAACATAACAAAATGATTACACTTTTAGTTGGTTTTTAATGTACTTTATATTGCTGTAGGCCTACACGTGGTTATATTTTAAATATATATGTATTTATAATTTTAATATTTGGAAAAATACAATATTTTGAAAAACATTTTTAAAATTTACAATGTACAAACGTTTATGAACTAAGCATTGCGATATTTAAAATATGTTGTTTAATATGTTGTTCAGTTTTACTTAAAAGGTTA